CCGTCTGTTGCACTTCCATGTAAATACTTCTATATAAATGTAATAGTACCGTCTGTTGTACTACCATGTAAATACTTCTATATAAATATAACAGTACCGTCTGTTGTACTTCCATGTAAATACTTTATATAAATATAATAGTACCGTCTGTTGCACTTCCATGTAAATACTTCTATATAAATATAACAGTACCGTCTGTTGTACTTCCATGTAAATACTTTATATAAATATAATAGTACCCTCTGTTGTACTACCATGTAAATACTTCTATATAAATATAACAGTACCGTCTGTTGTACTTCCATGTAAATACTTTATATAAATATAATAGTACCGTCTGTTGTACTTCCAGGTAAATACTTCTATATAAATATAATACTACCGTCTGTTGTACTTCCAGGTAAATAAATATAATAGCACCGTCTGTTGTACTTCCATGTAAATACTTCTATATAAATATAATAGTACTGTCTGTTGTACTTCCATGTAAATACTTCTATATAAGTATAATAGTACCGTCTGTTGTACGTCCATGTAAATACGTCTATATAAATATAATAGTACCGTCTGTTGTACTTCCATGTAAATACTTCTATATAAATATAATAGTACCGTCTGTTGTACGTCCATGTAAATACGTCTATATAAATATAATAGTACCGTCTGTTGTACTTCCATGTAATTACTTCTATATAAATATAATAGTACCGTCTGTTGTACTTCCAGGTAAATACGTCTATATAAATATAATAGTACCGTCTGTTGTACTTCCATGTAATTACTTCTATATAAGTATAATAGTACCATTAGGTTGTATTTCCACGTAAATACTTCGCAGAGTGTTGATGGACCTTCACCAATTTTAGTATGGAGGTTCATTGGAAGATACATACAAATTTTCAGTTTCGCATTTTGTTTTGCAGTTTTTATGGGCATTTTTGCGTTTTCTACAATTACATATAAGGAAGCAACTTTTCATATCCTAAGATAACTTTTCATTAATCATGAATTTACATAATTTCCGTCTAGGGGACGTGTACTCCAGCTATTTTATAAATATGTTATTTTCCCGCCGAAATGGGGACTTACTATTCAACACGAGTTATGTTCGAACTGTATGGAAGTTAGACTTTCTTCAAACCTCCAGCAGGAAATGTATTCTGACTTAGCTGCTAATTTAAATTATTTCAGCCAGAGGGAGATTGATTTTATATACAAACAAATTGTCAACATTTTCTGAAGCAATTACGTGATTATTATAGGAAGGAGATTATTAAACGACCCCCACTGAGGAATATGGTTGAAACTACTCACCTAAACCTTTCTTGCAAATCTGGACTGTGTGGGCTTCTTTTATTTGTGACGTCATAAACAAGATGGTGATTTTTGATAAAACGGCCGAGCAGAGAACGATGGTCAGAGTGATGCCATAGACGATGACCTTCATGATCTTCAATACCACATCTACCAATTTTGAAGTTTCGGTGAGGTCGTCTTCATCAGGAGGCGTTTCGGAAAACACATCCCACATCTTTTCAGTGGACTTAGGGTGACTGAAAGTTTCATCGGGATTGTATGTTAGTTTTGCAGATTGAGCTTTAAATTAGGTTTTATCATGAAAATGTTAATGTTACCAACGTTAAAGTAGATGTTATTTATGGGCTGGCTATGCGTTGTGCCCACCGCAGAATCGAATCTCGAATGTTAGTGCTGTAAGCCTAGAGATTATCATTCAGCCACCAGGGGCGGTTAAGTTAAATTTTGCTAATTCAACTTGGGTACGACGAACAATTTTCGGTTTGATATATTCAGATAATGGAATATATTACTGAGGTTTAACTATTTTGTAAATGCAAGGATCATCGGGTATTCCGGATTTATATCCTGGAAACTAAAATCAGTTAAAATAATCTCTTCGAAGTCAGGGATTTGGACAGAGAGCACATAGCCCACTGTGCAGTTTTGGGCTATAACAAACAAATAAAGATATAAATTATGGCTTGACCATGTCCAGCCCTAGAGTGATCACATTGTTTGGTTATCGGAAACAAACAAACAAAAAATTGTGTGTTTTTATCCAAATTTATCAAACCGACGGGCGCGTGGCCTCGTGTTTAGAACGATCGATTTGGAATTTGCGGGTTCGAACCCTGACACCAAACATGCTTACTTTTTCAGCCTTGGGGACGTTACAATGTTACTATTAATCCGATTAGAGTGACCCAAAAGTTGGTGGTGTTGACTAACTGTCTTCCCTCTGATATATCACTTCTTAATTAGGTAGGGCTAGGCGCAGTTAGCTTTGTGTGAACTTCAACAAACAAATAAAAATTAAACCAGTGAAACCACAGCCAAAAGAATGGTCTAAGTAGATAAAAGGTGTAAGTTTGCTTAGAATTTTCTCGTTCCACCAGAAGCCGCTTTCTGTCGTACATCAGATATTTCAAATCAGGTCACGACACCACGGATCCGATTTCACGCAAGCACGACTTTGACTTCATCAAACCTAAATTAGGCTTAGTGAATTACTTATAAACAATGTTAAACATACCTTGTCACGGCTATTGTCAAATGGCGCCTATTTTGACAGACGATAAGATGTACTCCGTCATTTTTTGTTGTTGTGTGTGATGATGATGTTTAATATAAGTTTGAAAATAAATCAAACGAATACGGTATACATTTTATAAAATATCTGATTTTGTTTATTTGTTTGAAGTTTAGGTACAAAGCTACACGTTGGGCTATCTGTGCTTTGCCCACCACGGGTATCGAAAGCCGGTTTCTAGCGTTTAAGTCAGCATACATACCGCTGTGCCACTGGAGAGCAAAACATCTGAAATTAGA